TGGAGCTGGGATCCCAACCAGGATCAGCTTCTGCCCAACACGCAGGTGAAAAGTACCCCCTGTCAGGAGCCGGTAGGGGGACAGGGCAGGGGTGTTACTGGGCTAACAGGAAAGTGGGGAGGGCAGGCTTGTCCCCAGAGCAAGGAAAGGGCAGGTGGCCAGGCTGGGTTTGTTTGCAGCCAACCGTCCAGGTGGTGGCAGCCCTCGGATGGGGACAGAGAGAGGAGGGGTCAGGGAGGCACCCAGGCCCAGGTGACAGGTGCAGTCCCGAGGGCTGTGAGGTCACCGAGGGTGGGGACTGAGGGTTGGGGGAGGAGTCCCTGAATGGGAACCCAGCTTCTGACGTGGGATTTTCACCTGAAAATGAAAGGAAGAATTCATGGGAAAAGGGTGTGGCCCACAGCAGGCATCGATTTCCAGAAAGTTCTCTCTTTCTCTTCTCCTCCTCCCTCTCCTGTTGAATTCGCACCACAGTCTTTGACCAAAGGAGGCAGCGGAGGGTCCTTCCTGAAGGACCATGGAAGCAGGACAGACCATGCCCCAGGGGCCTGAGATACGCGGCCCTGTCCTGGCAAGGGAGGGTAATGGCCGACCAGGACGGTCAAATGTTTCTGTGCGTACGTGTCTCTCTCTCTCTCTCTCTCTCTCTCTCTCTCTCTCTCTCTCACTTTCTCCCTTGTGTCCTCCCCCCTCTCTTGTTGCAAAAAGATTTCAAGATAACTGAGCACTTAGAACGAACCAGGCACTATGGGGGGGCACAGATGAATACGACACTCCCTGTGCTCAATTTTCTTTCATTCATTCAACAAACACTTAAAGAGCACCTACTCTACCTACTATGTGCCAGACGCCGTCCTCCCTGAATCACACACTCGTTCATTCATTCAATTACTCAATCAGCACTCACTCGCTCACCGCCCCCTACGTGCCCAACTGTGTGCTGGGGACAAAGGTGGTTCGGACAAGCTGGCGGATCTGGGGTCCCCTTGTGGGCTTCCCAAGCCCTCCTTGACAAGGACACCCTTCTACGTCTGCCGAACTCCAGTCGCGGGTGTCCCTGCCTGTCCCCTTGGCTCTCGTGGAGGTTTCCCCACCTGCTCCCAGGCTGGTCCCCACGCAGATGGGGGTCAGGGAGCAGGAGGGCAGGGTTGTGGTTCCCCCAGGGAGCGCAGGCCTGGGCCTGCGTGCTGACTCCCCGGGTCGGGAGATCACTGGGGCCAGCGTGGACGGAGTGACAAACTCCACCGTACTCACAGCACACAGGCCCCCTGTCTACGCCAGCCGGCCGGGCCACTGCACGTGCTTGTGGTTCTGTACTCAAGCGTCACCAGCCGGTCTGAGCGGTTGGACCAGACGCTGTCCCACAGGCCTGAGGCCCGAGGCGCCCTGGCTCAGCTGCCCAGGGAAACCTCTCCCAGGCCAGCCCTCTAGGGGATGGAGGGGGCGATGATCTTGGGCGGCTTCTGACAGGCTGCCTGACCTTGGCCAAGCCACAGACCCTGCCTGGGTCTCGGGGTCCTCCTCCATGGGAGGGGAATAACGTTTCCATGCCTCCGAGGTGGCCGTGATGTTCCGAGGACGGCCCGTGGTGATGTGCTCAGTGCCGGTGGCCGATAATAGTAACAGTGAATGGGACGTGGCTCAGCCTGTGCCCCGGGCAGGGCTCCCAGCCAAGGGCTTCCCCGGTGGCACCGGTGCCCGTCTGCTCGGTGCCTGCGTTCATCATGCGCCTCCTGCCAGGCAGAACCGGAATGCAGGAAAGGCCCTTGTTTCTTTGCCAGGGCCAGGAGGCTCGCTCCCTTGGCTCTCCGTGCTGCTGTTTGCCTTCGTTCTCACAACGCCTCGGCGATGAGCCAGGCCTCCCCAGCCACCTGGGCACCGTGGCTGGAGGATGGGTTCAGGAGCGGGCCACGCCATGCGTTTGGTGCAATAGGAAAATGAAGAAGGGGCTCAAAGAGCAACGGGGAGACGGAGGCTTGGGGCCAAGGAGCACGTGGCACGTGGGCTGAGTGCTGAGTCTGCCCCGGCTCCCTCTGCCCGAGAGGGGCCCGGAGAAGGGCACACACAGGCGGGTCTGCCACCTTTACAGCCACCCTCTCTGCCAGACGGGGAAACTGAGGCTCAGAGAGGCAAGACCCAGCTGCGAAGTGGCACCACTGGGACTCAACTCTAGGATATGCGCTTTCCTGTAGCTGCTTTCCGGGTGTTCTCAGCTACTCTAAACAAAGAACTTTCATAAACATGTGGGTTTTTTGCTGTGTGTATGTCGTAAGATGTGTGTGTTGTCGTAAGATAATCCAGAGCTGGATCTTCTTGTAACTTGCCACCCCCTCTGTAGAGCCCCAGATAGTGACATCACTCCTCCAACTCCAGCACCCCACATCTCCTTATCAGCGACCCCCAGTAGGACCCCACTCAGGGTGTGCTGCGCTCTCATGTACGGAGGCTCCTGCAGTCCTTACCGCGGAGGGGGCCTCTCTGCTGGGCACTCGGTACGCATTACACAATTTAATCTTTGCCACAACCCAGCACGGGGGTGTTAACGTTCCCACTTTACAGATGGGTAAACCGAGGCTCAGAGACACTAACAAACTCATCCATGCTCCCTGCTGAGATCCTGGAAGGAAGAAGAGACCCCATGGATGGCAGCTTCAGAATGCCCACCGCCCTCTGCAATTGGCGCCTCCTGGCCCCCACCCATCCATTTCAGGCTGTTTCCAAATCCTCTGGATGCTGAATGAGCCTGGCTCACCAGGGAGCCGTGCCCAGTGAGGTCAACCCCCCAACACTTGGAGGAGGTAGGGTGGGTTTAGGGTCAGACAGTCCTGGGTTCGAATCTCCTGGCTTTGCCACCTTTAATTCATGTGATCTTGGGTAGGTGTTTTCACCTCTGGAAGCCTCAGTTTGCTCATCTCTAAAATGGGCATGCTGATAGTGTTTACCTTGCAGGATTTTGGCAAGGCTTAGAAATCGTGAACAAAAAGGGCCTGGCACATAACAGCTGGGGTCGTGATGCCTCCCTGACCCAAGCCACAGCGTCACAGAAAGCCCGTGACAGATTTCATCTGTCATATTCATCTCAGGTCAGTGGAATTTTGTTTGGATGTAATCAATGTATTTTGCAAGGACAGTACTTTCCAAACTCAGAATAAAAGTCCCAAGCAGAGCTTGTGACAGCAGCTCTGGAACAGGCACCTGCAGCCCTGCACTCTGTTCCTGACTGGGTGACCTTGTCATTTTAAACCCTGGGGTCTCTGAGCCTGGGGACAGAGGGCGGGGCTTGAGCACAGGGAGGCCTGGGCATGCTGGGGGGTGTATCAGGGAAGAGGAGCTGGTGAGGAGGGAGTGGCCCATCCCACCTGCTGTTTAGGAAAAGGGCATGGCTGTGCAGGATGGGAGGGAGGGCTGGCTGGGCTGTGGCAAGGACAGGTAGGAAGTGACAGGAAGGGTCAGAACAGGGACGACGGGGAAAGAGGAGGGTCTGGGCACCAGGCTGCCTGGGTCTGAGTCCCGGCTCCCCCACTTCCCAGCTGTGTGGCTTCAGGTGGTTTACTTAACCTCTTGAAGCCTCAGTTTCCCCTTCTATAAAACAGGAATAACAGCATTGCCTGCCTCGTAAGGCTGTTAGATGCAGGAAGTGTGATATAAATACTGTAAATAGTAGCTACCACTGTATGAGACGCCCAGGACCTAGAAGGACAGGGCTCAAGGTCTGGCTGAAGGAGGACGAAAGGACGATTTTAAGGTACCTGTGAACTTGGAGTCCCCGTCCTTTCTGGGAGAAGTGGGCAGTGCCTTCCTCTTGGCCCAGCCCCCGCCAGCTCCCCGCGCACCTCTCTGGGGCCAGAACAAGCACCGGTGCCCTCGATCCTCCATCCTCCACGCTGGGCAGAGGGCTAGCTGGGCTTGCTGACGGCGGCCTGGGCTAGCTCCGGCCCTTCCGTTTCCTCCACCCCCACTCCCAAGCAGCTCATTCTTGGGGGAGTCGGGGGCCTCAAATGATGTCAAGCTTTCTCTTTTTCCATTACTCCCCTACCTTTCAGTCTTCTGCCTCGCTCCTGTGGCCCTGGGGAGGCCACACTGATATTTACTGCTGTTCTCCGGCTGCTGGGATTCAGGCAGCAAAGTGACACTTTCAAGAAAATGTCCCAGACACTCCTGTGGGCCCAGCCTGGGATAGGGGAGGCCAGGAGCAGCCCCTGCTCTTACTGACAGCAGCAGTAATGGCGACAGCCACACACAGTCCCCGAGAGCGTTCCTCCGCTGTCTCGTTTAACCCAGAGCTTGACACGGGGCTTGGCGCGCAGTAGGTACTCAAGTGGGATTGTTGAATGAACGGATGAATGAACCAGGGATAGGCCCAGCACTGTGCTAAGTACTCAACTGATGTTTTCACATTTGAGTCCTATAACAACCTTACAAAGTGGGTATTGTCCCCATTTCACAGACAAGAAAACTGAGGCTTAGTTGCCCAAGGCTGCCCAGCTAGCTAACAGGGCCAAGGGCAGGGCCAAGATTCCTGCCTCAGTCTCTCTTGTGCTGGAGCCCCTATCATCACCCCCACACTATTACACACCCACCGACGGAGCCTTGGCTAAGAGGTGTGAGGTAACAGACTGCATCGTGAACCAGGTATGGGTCAGCAAGCCCAGGTTCTAGCCTTGCTTCCAGAGCACACTTGCTGTGTGACCTTGAGCAAGTCACAGACCCTCTCTGAGCTTCCGTTGCCTTAATGATGAAAGGAAGACAGATGGCCCTGTTTGCCCCATATTAATTCATTTGTGGTGAGGTCCTGGCGAACCTGCACTTGCACACGGCAAAGAACCCACCGCCGTGAGTCCGGCACCTCCCAGGGCTGCTGGAGTCTCATCTCTCTGGCTGCTCCCCTGGCAGCAGCTGCAGAGGCTGGAGCCTGGAGCCATGAGCTCCTCTGCCAGCAGAACCGGCTTGTCCAGCATCACCCGACCTGTCCCCCGGCCCCCAGAAGGTCCCCCTCTCACCTGCAGACATCAAGCTGAGTGGAGGTGCCCAGCACACACACAGCATGGGTGGGCCACTCTGGGGCCACACGGATCACTGTCTCCTGGGCCATTGTCCAGCCAGCTCGTCCCTCTGGCTGTAGGAAGCCCCTGGGCTGGTTCCTTTATACCGCCCAGCAGAGGCCATGAGTCAGCACCTGCGGTCTGGGGCCCAGCGGCTCGGCCCCTCCCCACTCAGGCCCGGGTGTGGGCTCTCACCCCCTCCTCTGCGCTGGGGCTTCCCTTTGGACCCCCAGATGGCACTGTTGATGCCAGCACTAGTGACAAGCTGGCTCTGTCACTTCCCTGGGAAGGGCTGGGTCCAAGTCCTCGTACACAAAGCCCCATCTCTCCTGGGGGTCAGGAACACCTGGATGCACCCAGCCTCACGTAACTCTACCAAACAGGGTGTCAGAGAGGAGAAGCCGGGAAAAGCAGGGGGATTTCAGCAAGAGGTCACAGCCCAGGCTACACATTCCAAGAGCAACAGGACAAGTCTCCCCAGCTGGGCCGCGCACGTGACACAGCTCACCTTCCCGGGTGTCTTCTCTGTGCTGGGCACCTTTCTCTGCACTTCACGTGGAACAGCTCATTGCAACAATCCTGCGAACTAGGTTCTACTATTCTCTCATTTCATCCTTATAGCAGCCCTCTGAGGTTCATGCCATTATTATACCCATTTTACAGAGGAAGAAACTGAGGCACAGAGAGGTTACATAGCCAGAAAGAGGTAGATCCAGACTACGAGGCGTACTAGCTGCCTGTCTATGTGACATGTGCTTTGCAGATTTCATCACAGCTACCTCTTACTGCAATTCAAGGTAGGCATCTATGGGCTTATTGTTACAAGCCATTTTACAGAATCAAAACCGAAGCTCAGAGAGGAGAAGTGGTTTGCCCAAGGTGCCATAGCTAGCAGGTGTCAGAGCGGGGAGGGGAAGATGGGCTTCCTGGCCTGGAAGCCGGTGTGTTCTCTGCACACTCGAGGATGCCTGCCTCTTGCTGGGGCCCCTGGGTGTCAGACTAGACAGTGCAAGTGTGGGCCACACCTGCCATGGGGACACTCACTTGGCCACAGAGCTGTGGTTGCCCCTGGGATGTTGGTGCCAGGCTCTGCCTGCTAATAGGGTGATGGGTGGGAGGACAGACAGGTTTCAGCAGGGAGTACCCGGAAGGAATGTGCCTGGGGATCTAGAATGAGCATAGAATGTTCCAGACGTTGGAGATCTTGTGTATGTTTTAGTTTGTTTGCTTTGGCTTTGAAGCAAAGGATTTGCTTCATTAATTAAGAGGTGGGCTGTGGGGTTAGGCAGTCTTGAGTTCCAATCCTGCTTCGTTCCAGCACCCGCATGAGCTGGGTCCTATCAGACACCCATGTAGAGAAGCAGCCACTAATGCTCGGAGAGGCCACGATACTCCCAGGGTCCCGCAACCCCTACCGTGGGGATCTGGACCCAGGCCACCTTCTCTGGGCACAAAGCCCGCTTTCTGTACCAGTGGACGACGTGGCCAGACCCGATGAGCTGGTGCATCTACGTGACTACCTGCACACAGTGGGTCTTAATGAACCCAATTTCTCGGGCTGGTCATGTGATTAGAACTAGCTTGAGTTTCTAATGGAAAGTGGCAGGAGGCAGCCATTGATTGTCAGAGAGAGATGATGGTGGCTCAGGCCAGGGTGGCAGCAGCGGAGGAGGGGAGGAGGGGTCGGATGCTGGACATTTTGTGACAGTACAGCCAATAGGATTTGCAGAAGGATGGGATGCAGGGTGTAAAGAAGAGAGAGGAATCAAGGATGACTCCAAAGTTCGGGGCCTGCGTACCTGGCAGGGTGGAGCTGCCCGCAGCTGGGCAGGGAGGGCGGGGGGAGAGCAGGAGTTTGGAAGTGGCTATGCTGAGTGTGAGTCGGTGTGGAGACGCCTTGGAGGGTGTTTGGACGCACAGCTCTGGAGTTTAAGCAGCAGGACCAGGAAGGAAAGGACAGACCTGTGAGATGTCAACAACCCCAGCTGCCCTCGGGAGTGAGCGTGGATGGAGAAGACAGAGCCCGAGGGATGAGCCCTGGGACCCTCCACCGGAGACCCGGAGGGAGTGGCCAGCGAGAGGAGAAGCAAAAGGGAGAATATGGTTATTTGCTATTTCACAAGGAGCAAGGGAAACCCAGGTTTGTGCGCACACACATACACACACGCACACACACACACACACACACACACACACACACATGCACATACTTGCTTGGGGAAAGCAGCTGCACTCGTGAAACAAAGCCTCTTTGCAGACCTGCACCTGGACAGCGAGGGCGGTGGGCCCAGTTATGGGCAGGGCAGAGGGCAGGGGCCGAGGCAGACAGACCTGCGGCTATGCGGGCACCACCTACACCCGCAGCTCTGGCGGTACCATGACATAGCCGCTCCCTTACTGTTGGAGGTGGAGGCTGTCTGCAAGTTTTCAGTATCACAAACCAGGCTGCGAAGCATTCATCGTGCCCACGTCTGTGGTTGTTTGCAGGGACTTTGTAGATTCATCTTTGCCTGTCCTGGCTGCACCTCCCTGCCCAGACTTAAACTAGGTGCTCACTAAACACTGGTGGCTGAATACCGTGGTTGTTTGTGTCCTTGGCACCCGGCCCAGCACTTGACCCAGGGGTGGGGGCCCTGAGGACAGCGTCCTCTGAGGATCCTTGAGAGCCTGGCCTGGCTGCTACTCTTGCTGATGGCATTAACCCTTTCAGAGCCTGAAGGGGGCCTCTGGGGCTGGGAGGCAAACTCTCCTACGCAGAATCCAGGCCAGAGACCCGGAGGAAGGGGCCTCTCTTCCTGCCCAGGGGCAGAAGCACCAGCCAGCTCACGAAGAGGAAGTGAGGCTGGTCTGAGGGTTGCCCAATGCCCTCTAGGCATTTGGGGCCCAGATTGCTGGCCACCTGGGCTGCTGTCCCAGGGACTGGCGTGGCTGGCCTTCCCCCGGTGATTGCAATTACATCATTCTGGGGAAAGGAATTGGGGTCAGGGAACTTTCCCAGAGCCTGGGAAAGTGCGATGCCGCATGAGGAGTAGACGGCCTGGCCGTTCCTCCAGCATTAGCCATTTGTAAATGTAGTTGAGAAGCACTTCCTGGGCTGTTCAATCAACAAACACTATCGAATCCCTCCTAGGTGCCGGGCACTCTCTTAGAGGCTAACTTAGGCTTTGTTTAGCATGGATTTACAAGGACCCAGGGTGACATCAGAGACCACCATCTATTAAACACCTGCTATGTCCTACACCTGTCACCGGGTCCTTGAGCTATATTATTTCTAATTCTCACCATAACCCAGCAGAGCAGCAATTACAATCTCATTTCCACAGAGCAGTGAAGCACCAAGCTCCAGGTCACATGGCTTCTAAGCGGGTTTCAAACCCATGCTCTGCCCTGGTGTCACCCTGACCTCTGCTGGGCCCTTGACACGCATCACCTCTGGTCCTCACAGCAACCTTAGTGTCTCTCCCATTTTCCTGATGAGGAAACTGAGTCTCAGAGGAGTTGGGTAATCACGCAAAGTCACAGGCATGAGGAAGTGGAGATGCTTGGGCTTAATTTTGCTGGGCCTGACTCCCGAGGCTGTGCGGCTGCCCCCAGGCCAGGTCCCTTGGCTGGTCAGCACCCACGTCCCTTCCAGCACAAAGGCCCCCAGACTCCCGGTCTCTCTGACTTCACCACTTTAAGCAGAGAATTGGGAGCACGTCTAGATCATCCAGACTGGCTGGAACCAGACAAGCTCCCTCTCCTGTGGAGTGTTCATCCAGCTTCCCTGCCTCTGTGTGTCTTGGGGGGCGCAGAGGCCTTTCCTCCCCTCTC